TGAGAAATTCGTTATCGGGAGTGAAAATTTCATTCGAGATATCCGGAAATTCGAGATAAGCGAATTCGAGTTAAACGGAGCATTTAACATGGTGTCCTACGGGGTTCCGCCGGGACCAAGCTTTGAACTTCGAGATAAGCAGAATTTCGACTTATCAGGATTCGAGTTAACGAGTTTTCACTGTAATATGAACACCTGTTAGAATTTTGTCGTGGGCACCGGAAGGGTTCGCAAATAATTGTAACTAATTTTCGTCTTTTGCGCCGAACAGTGAAGCTCATCTTGCATTCTTATCGCAATTTTAATCCAGGTACTAAAGTCTGCGCCCAATAGACCCAGAACAATGTGAATTGTTTGGGGTGCGTGTGTCAATTATAAGCAAACTACAAGCTGTAGTTTGCGTACGCTGTGGCGTACTCATGAGCATTCTTAATTTTTTGCATTTCTCCATTGCATACATTGGATATTGGGTCCACTAGACACAGTGGATTAGATATGCTTTAAAAAAAAGTATTGCTGGCAGAATCAGGGTAAAGAGCGCAAATGGACGCTCTGACTATGTGCTAAGAATATGATAATTATTAGCCGAAAGTTTAATATGGACAAAGTTTGTTCCTTTCATGACAACAACGAGAGGTTTGTGGATTTGTGATGATGCAGTTTTGCGAAGTGACGGGGAGTCGTCCCCGATCCATTTCTTACCTGCATGATCTTTCTGGACAAATTACTCACATGGACGATAACGGCCGAAAACAATAAAGTGCAGCTGAACGAAGCGCCTCGCATGATCCTCGTAGCAGGCGTTGGCGAATGCTGCGGCCGAATGATACAGACAGATGTTGTTCATCTTTTATTCCTTCGTTTCTTAGCAGCTTGGGCATGGAGTAGAAGGGGTTGCGACGGTTTCGTTTGAAGTCCCGAACTGCAGCAGGATCACCATGTAAGTCAGCATCGCGTTTGCAAACTGGACGCAGCAAATAAAACCAACCAAATACATGAAACAGGCAGAAAATACCGTCATGAACAATGAAGACAATTTCGATCATGAACGTCACCGAGTGGAAAAGAGGTCGAGGGAGACGGATGAACCCCGCAGCGGAGATCTTCAGGGGGGTGTCCCTCACAACAATCATGAATTCCCGGATCCCAGGGGAATCCGGGTGATCGGATCGAAGCGCTGAGAGTCCGCAATTCAGTTCCCCGGACTGCATCAACGTGAGGACAATAAAAAAAGAGGTCAATTTTCCTTTTAAAAAAATCAAATGAACGAAGCCCCTCACGGTTCGAGAAGATGATTGGCACATTCGATGATGATGAAGAATGGAATGAGGGCGGCCGCGACGGTGAGGCTGCTGAGGAGGATTCGTGACGAAGGCGTCCCCCACAAAGCGGACTGCATCAGTAAGTAGAGCTCAGAGAAACTGATGAAGAAGGCTTCCCCAACGTCAAGAGTATCGCCCATCCGAAGACGTCCGTCAAGTCGGCAGTCAGCGACCGGATTTGTTCGTACCTTTCTCTGTATATCGACATCATGATTATGGGTGGTAAAAGAGGGAATGGAAGAATCGCGTTGGATCTTACCGCATTTCGGCCAGTGCCTCTTCGTTCAATATTCCATCGGGATTATGCAAGTCTTCGACGAGATATTTAAGGAATGACGCAATCCGAAGAAGGAGTGCCAAGAAAAGTACGGCGATCCCAGACATGACCAAAGTCAAAGGAATGAGATACTCCCAACCGATGAGGATTTCGACGGCGGAATGCAAAAACGGAAACGACTAAGGATTTAGCAAGGGGAAACGTGAACTCCCCAAGCCGTTTCCGCGGTTTCCTCGGAATGCCGTCCACCTTTGCGAGGATTGTCTCGATTCGAGGACCCGAGTCCAGAAAGAAGGCAATAACAACCCAGGCGTAGGTGATGGCGACCGTGAATTGAAACGTGGTGACCACTTCCTCGAGAGAGCGGCGCGCTTCGAACAAGAAGCGAAGCATCTTCCAGTGTGGAAATGAGGACAGCGGTCATATAAACAAGAAATCCGAAGGAATAGAAGGCTGGGAAAGACACGAGCTGGAACTGGAGCTCCGAGTGGAAAACCCCAGTAAAGGGAAAACAGCCTCCCAGGAAAAGAAGGGCGGAGGAGGTCTTGAATATGTCCAGGAACTTATCTGTCGTCACCCGCATTTTGTTTTCGTCTATCGCCAGGCAGATAGGTGATTTCATCTTGGGTTTGAGGAGGTTGGAATAACCTGCCTTTGAACCAACATTTTCAGCTTTGAGGAACTTGGAAGAGATATTTAATGACATCACCATCTGGCACCACGCCTCCGACAGCTGGGGAACAGTTCAAATTAAGACCGTAACAGGTCGAGAGGGTCTCAACCACGCAACAGGACGTTCTGGTTGTCTCATAAACAACAAATTCTTCAGTTATAATGGAGACAGCAGATAACAGGTCCACCTTAGACACATGAAGTACCCATATGCGTCATGGGCCAGGTCCATGCTCGATACACGCATGACGCATAACGGTGCGTCATGAGAATTTCGAAGATTCCCCCCGAGTCCACTCTTGTCCTGATATCCATATGATAGCTGGTCATTTCTCCGATATTCGGTACAATTCGTTCCTGTTGTTGAAGCTCGCCAATAGAAAAATTTTCCTGCTTGCTGCACTCTCCCCATAAGCAATCATGGCGTCTCGCGGGAAGGGAAAACGTGGTGCCGAAGAAAGTTTGGTCAGTAATTTACAGTGTGAGAGCGATTCTAACTTCGAATATGAGTTGAATAATTCTGAATGAGTCTTCAAGTACGGAATTTGACTCTCCGAGAGAAGATGTTAGCGAATATTCAGAAAATTGTTTTGATGACTTGAGTGACAGCGATGACGGGCGTGGTGACGCAAAGGTGCAGATGGTGAAGATGGTTCAAGGCAGTGCAAAGTGGACTTGCACTTGAAGAACTGCTTCCAGAAATGCCAAGAAAGCTTGTGGAACCCCCAAAGCTAATAGCTAGACACATGATAAGCCGATTCGTCAAAGATTTCTTTAGACAACAAAGCGAAAATATTGTCAGAAAGGTCTATGAATCGGGGGTGCGCTCAGATTCGTTTTCTGGTGTGTTCATCTTACAAGTTTGTTGAAAATTGAGCGTTCTTTCTTCTGAAAGTAAAAACTCCTAACACCAGCAATTAAAATTTTATAGAATCATTAATTACCATTGAAACATGATGAATATGTTATTACCAAATACTACTTTACATGTATCAAGATGAGATGAAGGCAGGGAAAGGAAGAAAACTCTTCTCCTAATGTATTTTTCGTTCTGACTTGAGTTGAAAGGTTGGGGGAACATGGCCACCATCTGAACCTGTTTTTAGCACCGCATTGGGAACCCTAACTTCTATGTCTGAAACGTTCTCATGTGTACTTTGGACCATGTCTGCACAAAGACACCTATATCGGTATGCATGTGGACCCGAAGGACACAAAAAACGAACGTCTCACATGTGTACCTCTTCTTATACGTTTCCGTTTTGCTGCACAAGTTGATTCAATGTATGTCTTACTGGGGTATAGAGCAGAGAAGACTTTTCATTCACCCTGGAGTGGGTGCTTTGCCGTACGTGAATGCACGATGCGAACAGGGAATGTGCGTTTCCTTTGTTCTTGCTGGGGCTGTGCATTCTTTCTTGGTTCACCGATGTCGGCAGAGGGGAACAGGGGTTTGGTGCGCATATTAGTGGATAGATATCCCGCAACATAGACGCGGAGATTAGCATTTGCGCGACGCGAAATACGTAATTTGTTCAGAAGACTGAAAAACTGCGGATTATTCCTATTTTTTTGTCATTCACAAATTCAGTTCGGACTTTTGGAGATTCCGCCTACATCATTCTCATGCCACTTCGATGCGAATACGCATGGAGACCATCACCAACATACGATGCAACTTCCGACGAAAACTACTGTTCCCAAAATAAAATTTGTTAGGGACATGGCTGCCGCACTCCCAATGACAACAGTCGACAGTCACAAGATCTGAGTGTATTTTCTTCCTCTTATCCTCACAGCCACTTCCGCCTATTTCTCGTGGTCTTCCAGTAGCGTATTTAAGCTGTTTTCTTTCAATGCATCGCGAGCTCTATTCACCAATTCCATGTTCCCTTCTTCGTTGTTTTCTTCGTCGCTCTTTTTACTGTTATCTTCGCTGATCTCTTCAGTTTCATTTTCCAGCAAAAGCTTGTGATGAACATCGTCTAGGGCAGTTCTGAGGAATGCCTTGAGAATCTCTTTCACATAGGAATTAATGTCATCCTTCATTCTCATTTCTGTAAGGTATTTTGCTACAGTTTTTCTTAACTCTTTCCACACTGATGTTTTTAGCATGGTGTCATCGGCAAAATCCAGAACTTCTTTGAGTCTTTCCCATTCTTCATCTGCGAAGATGACTTCTTCTTTCAGCAAGTCTTTCACAATAGTATGCAAAATGTATTCATTTAATGCATCACGGGCTCTATTCACCAAATCTATGTTGCTTTCTCCAACATCACCTTCCTGTGAAAGCTGGTCAACACGATATCTGATGACCATCATGAGCTTTTTTCTCAGATCAAAAGTAATATCACGTCTTCTCCAGGTATTTTGACAGCGGTTCCAAACTTCATCAGCTACTCTTGTTTTTTCTCGCTCAACATTTTCAGCATCCAAGCATCTTTTTACATTACGTTTTAAGCGTTTCCATAATGATGTTTCATACGGGCTATTGCTTTCGTCTTTCATAATTTCTCTGAACCTCTGACATTCTTCTTCGGTAAAGTTAACTTCAGCTTCATTCAGCAAATCGTTCACAAGAAGGTAGAAGGTATATCTGTCATTCGCCATTCCCTACAAGTAATGAAACAAAAGACTTGCGCAATAAATCCAAAATTAACAACCATAAATCAATATATTTCATTGTTATTTTCTTATATTGATTATTGATTCCAAAAAATCTAATATGTATGACATATGACAGAAGTGAAGTAGCCTCAGAGTATTACTAATCTATATTCCTCTAATCTAATATATTCTATACTTCCATTGTAAGAGGCCGAACATTGTGGTGGCTGTCATCCCTAAAGCACGAGGCCTACGATGCTATGACATTCTAGGCCATAGGCAAGGCCGTCCACGGACTAAGGCGATAAGCCTTCAAGGCTCTGCCTTACTGGGCCATAGGCTAGGACACAATTTGGAAAAGGCCGAAAACAGTTGTAACAGATAGTCACTCATCCCCGGTCTGACAAGCAAATCCTACAAGACTATGCCATTCTAGACCATAGGATGAGCCATAACAACTTTTGGTATACATTAAATCTACTCTTAAAATTCTTACTCTGTAGATGGCAATTACTGCAGGGTGTATCAAGAGTCCTGCCCACCTTTTGAAAATTAATTACATCCTAATGCTAGATCTGATTGAGATGTGGTTTACACCATTCGAAAGAATATGCAATTATCTGTCTAGTAAATCATGTCCGCATTTTTGTTGATAGTATCTTTTTCCCGAGACGTAATTTGACTTCATTGTCCAGGGATCATTTAAAGGCGTTCACATTTGAAAACACGCCTGCGGCACTGAGTCAGGTTGTATCTCGCGTGTCGCATGGATTGTGTCTCAGATGTGATCGATTTCAATTGAAAGGAGTTAGAGGAAAATGACTGAGGAACTTTTGACTGTCGATAAACGTGTACCGATTATTCGGCTTTACTCCGAATTCGGCCAGGACGTAACTGAACCACTTGAAAATTGAAGAAGATATTGAACCGAGAAACCGTCAGCCGCATGCCCATCGTCCGCATCAGCTAGTATTTTGACAGATGCAGGGTGTCCCGTAAGTCACCATACCATTTCAAAAATCGACATCTACTAAACAGTTGCCACAAAAAAGAAGTAACGTTAACTGAACAATAACGTGTCATTTGAAATTATATTGTGCCATTATGTCAATTATGTCTGAAATGGAGGCATTTTGTATCTTGAAAGTGTCTCAAATTGTCTTCCGCCTATATCTATGCATTTGGATTAGGCGCAGCACCAAAATCTTGCTGAAATGATCAGAAGCCTCCTCAGAAGCCTCCACAGGGCGCCCCGACCTTGGGTCATTTTCAATTGACTATTCCCCACTTAAACTGCTTGCTCCAAAATTTAACTTGGTAATGAGAAGGCGAAGACACACCATAAACGTTAGNAAAATTTAACTTGGTAATGAGAAGGCGAAGACACACCATAAACGTTAGACATACGTTCATGAATCTCCTTAGGTCCTTTCCCTTCTTTGGTGAGGAATTCGATCACAGAACGATGTTCAATTTTAGTCAAATCCATGACATAGACTCAGGAAAAAAAATCTAAAGCGCTACCACTTTGAACGGACTTGAGCGAATGAATTGGTATAGTGGTGGGGCACTCACGAGACCTGTCGAGATATGTCACAGTAGGCTCAGGCCTGCTGCTCATCCCTTTCATATTCAGGTAGATAACTTATTGAATGGCCCTCGTATCGTAACTGGCAGACATCATAAGGAAATCCCGAGTTCGGGAATGGAATTGAACCACAGTAGATTGGTGGGTTTGCGAAGCTGCAGGGAGGATTCCCAAATGCAGTTCTCCCAAGTCAGTCTCCCAATCAAGAATTATTTGAAGCAGACAAAAAACACTTATGGCGATATTTTGAGAAAATATTTTGATGAACTTATACGCCTACGGCATTATCACCAATACATCATTTGGATCTACTGTACATGTTGCCTAATCTTGCGGCCCATGTTGGTCAATTGACATTAGCTAATCGATCATTATGGTGTCCGCAACTTGTACTATATATTCAAGTACTTTTGTACTATATACTATATATGCTTCTGAATTCTGAAAATCACGCATCAGAATGTGGGATTGACAATATTCTGGTCTTTTTTCATATTTTCTATGGATAATGGTGCAGGATATGCCGTTATGCTAGAAGTAAACAATACTGATTTTAAAAGGAAGGTTGTTGCCAGTGGCTGTCCCGTATTTAACAGTCAAGGAAAAAACGGCTCAGGAGCTCTGGAATGCATTTGTCGTTCATTTTCAAGTTATTGCATGTAAGTACGTACTTAAATCATCTATTAGAGAATAGAGTCTGAGAATCACCTGGTCCGAGTCGAAGATGATTTGAACGTAATTGCCAGGGAAGAATCCCAAACGACCTTGGAGTTCTCCGTACCACCAGCCTGAGTCATCCATTTCCAATAAAGTCACGATATCCCCTTCACAAATTGTGAGTTCATTGGGACTCTGAGCGTCATATGAATACACGACTCGACACTTCTCCTTCACTGGGAACGGGAAAAAGCCTAACCCTATTGGTTGAAGAGCACACATTCTTGCTAGCCTTTCATCAAAACGACGCTTATCTAATGGTTATGCAGCCAGATACTCCTGAGGGCTTCAGTTTTCACCCTTAATGCCTGGGATTCTGTCTGCTGCACTTTGGTTCTTAGGAACTATTACATCCTCTAAATCGTATAATTACCCCTACTACTTCAAAGTAGTCGTATCCATTGAAGTAATCGAATGAGTGAAATTTTCTAGCCAAATAAAAAAGTATTTAAATGGGGGGTCAATCCAATCATTGCGAGTCAAATATATATGATACTTGCGAGTTTGTTTGCCCTTCAGGAAAATCAAACTCGCTATGATCGCACCTTCGGCGCTCCATTACCTTGCATAGTGATTAATTCATTTATTCTTTACGAAATGGCAAACACGTATTTAAAGTGCGTGCCCATTGAAATACGTGACAAATGGGGACGAAAGTCTTGCTTTTTTAAATCAAAATCATTACTTCTATGATTCTATGTGTGCCTAACTTGAAATATTTTCTTGTGTCCCTTTTTGTTAGGGTGGAGAATACATTTTAAGGAATTCCTTCCTATAATATACGCTAATGGGACATATTTCAAAAATAGGATTTTCCCTGTACTCAGCCATCAAATAGGTACTGCTGAGGGGAGTTTAAATTTTCTGTCTCTGTTTCGTTGGATCAAAAAAAAAATACAGAAAAAAAGGGACTTGAAAAAAGTGCCGTGATGGATTTTGACGGAAATTTTTTTTCTTCTGAAATGTAGACTCAGGGAACTCCATGCCACCCAGTNAAAATTCTAAAATGTTGACTCAGGGAACTCCATGCCACCCAGTCTCAGATTTTTACGTTTCCCCTTTTTACTGGCGGTAAAAATGTATTTGGAAAAGCGACCCACCCAAAAGCTGTGCTCTGAGGAGACGCATAACAAAAGTTGAATTTTTCATTAAATCAACATCACGTCCATTATGTGTGCGCCAGCTGGTACTTTTCTATTTATGCCCGATTCGCTGGATGTGAAAACTTCTTTGAAAACGTAACGTCCTAAGAAATATCTCCCCCAAAATTCCAATATTTTGAAAATTTGACATTTCTCCTGAGCTCAGTGCTCCAGCAGTCATGTTCTTCCCAAGTTTCAGTTTTCCATGCGTCTCCGTTTGATTGAAGCAAAGAGAACTATTTGAAAATATGTTCCCCGAAAAGGTCTGCCCCTATGTATAAAAAAAATTATAATTTTTCCTCAACTCAGCATGCGACTTGTGTCAGTCAGCTACTCACCATTGTTTATATATAATAAAAGTAGAATTTTTTTATTTACTCAGCTATACATCAGGTTCTTCTTTGCCAAGTTTAAACTTTCTAGCGCACTCTGTTTCGCTGGATCAGAAATTTGAGAAAACACGTCCTTTGCAATATATGTGCCTTGAGGCGTTTTAACCGAAAAGTACCTTTTTTTTTACCGAAATCAATTCTCAGAGAACTGCATGCCCACAAAGTTTCAACCTTAGTTTCATATGGGTTTCTATACATCAACAAGTTTTCACATATTTCAATAAAAAGCATTAGGGACAGCACTATTAATAAGCCCTACATGACAATTACATCACAAGGGTCAGATCATCGGCTGAAAATCTGAGGTAGGAGGATGGAGATGTACAAACTTTTTTCAGCTGATCGAAGAATGGGGGGCGTCTGAGGAGGCGATGGAGTTGATTGAGGGATGACAGTGCTTTGTTTCTGGGTCGGTGGTTGTGGAGCACGGCGTTTGCGTGACTTTCCCTTTTCCGTCCGTACCTGTACATCATCCTCATTGTTCCCTTTCTCGCTCTTGTTATTTTTGGAATGCTGCGCCCGAGCAAAGATTCTAAATAATTATTGTACGAAACAGACACAACTAATCGAATATTTTTGTGGGAATCGTGGAAATACAGTGGCCAGCAAAAGTGGTCCAAAGTTTTTGGTTTTGGTGTTTGTAGGCGAATATATATTAATCAATATTCAATCAATCTAAACCATATTTGGAGGGAAGATAGCTCTGCCTCTTGGCTTCCAATGCCTATTGGTTTTGTTTTGAAAAAGTGGATATTCGTGAGTAATGAGCTTTCACAGGTGTCAGTGAATGGGAATAGTTTTGAGCATTTTGTTCAGTCAGACAAATCGACATTCGTTAATCGCGACGAACGCATTCTGATTTCTCTGAACCTATAAAAAGAAAATATTTGCACCCTCTAGCTTACTACCAACTCCTTCCTTCCTTCAGTACTCCCTTACGCCACGAAACCCATTTCCTGAGTTACTCGCAACAAGATGGTTTCTCTGCTTGACGATGGCATTTTGTCCCAGAAAATTCCAGCACAACTGGGTGTTGGTCATGGTACAGTAAGGAGAATGCGTAGTAAGACCAAGCCTGAGGCGACGAAAAAGCCAAAGTCTATAACCAATCAAGCTTACGACGACAGACCAGAGTTAAGACAAGTAGCAAATTCACGGTGAATCAACGTTGATTCGGCGTTATTGCATCGATGCAGCTAAAGTTGAAACAACATTGGCCTGTCAATATTTATTCTGTCATACCAACCTGACAAAGGTCTCAACAATCTGTTTAATTCTTGCGCATGCGCCGTTTCATGACTGAAGAATTCTTTGAGTATCATGTAGACACTATCTCCATCCTCCGAATCCGCTTTTTAAAGATACTCCCATCCAAGAACAAATGAACTTAATACCGAGATGAGAAAGAACTATCCTGTTTCCCCGGAAGCAGGAGGACACCAACGTGATTATTGTGATGTAATAATGGCTACCTTCACTGGAAGTAACCTTCCACAATGATCACGATTTAGATTCATCCTCGAAGACAGGGCGTCGTTGTCGTATGGAGTAATATGCCGTCGCAAACTTTTTATTTCCATCATCCTGCTCAGAATTATCCTGGGTCCAGTTTGATTGAGTCGCCACATTGATCGAATATAACCGGGAAGTACAACACCTTCCCCGGCGTCGTTTGTGGAGAACATATATAATACTGCACTAAAATTACTAGAGACGCGTAATTATTAATGATACTTTATAAGGTAACAAACTATGTTGGGCAAGTAGTCGCCATCACATTTGCAGTCAGGAAATCTTGCTTGTTTTCCCTGCAGCACAACCGACAAACCAAGATCATTCTAAACTTCCCACGAAACCATTCCTTGTGGTGATGCACTATATGTCCGTGTGTTGCAGAATGTAAATTCTAGGCTAAAGCAAGCCTCAAAAGAGAATATTGGCTTTCATTATTCAAAAGTATTGTTTTCATCCAGCCGTGGCTAAGCCAAAGATGAATCATTCTCCCATAAAAGAGAATTCTGTCATTATGTCATCCGACATTTTGGTCTGATTTTATTGAGGAAACCCGGAGAGGGTTTGATACGATAGGCCTATAGCTGGCAGAGGGTATTCCTCAATTAGCCTATTTAAATGCGTCTGCGTATCCCTCAAGTTGCATTAACGCCCATGAATTGAAGGCATTCAGAAGCAGTAGCAGAATTGGAAGTTATTTCCTCTTTATCAGATGATCAGCCAATCAGCGGCTTACCTGGTCGTTGTTCTTTCTCTGGAGGGCATCCGCGGACTTAATATGTTCTTTCGTATGTTTCGTCAGCAATTCGTACTTTTCGTCCAAACTCTGCGAAAAGAAAATAAATCTTTTGCCACGAGATGCACTATGCTTCATGTAGGATGAACTGATGTGGACCTTTTTCAGCTCTTTCTTATATTCCCTTGCTAGATATGGGCAGTGTGCTCCTTCTTCTAAGAAACACACGAGTGCCTGCTTATAAAATACTTTCTCTCTCTTCATCAGCTCCTCCTCACTGATTTCAGCTTCTTGGCACAATTGGCTCAACTGGGTGTCATACTCACTCGCAGCTGAGATCAGGGCGTTTTCTAGCTTTATCGCTGCTGCTCTCTCGCCTTCGTCCCGTTTCTGCACATAGACCTCATACTGGGCCTCCAGAAGCTATTTAGGAGGGACAAAAGAGAAAATAACCGTCCATTCAGTAAAGAATATGAAATACAAAAGTGATTATACGTTTTCCAAGTCGTCGATGTATTTTTCTAATAGTTGCAGCCACCGCACTTCCATCCTACATAAGGCATCAACAGCTTCCTTTCGAAGTCTTTCATCGCCATCGATCAGTTCCTGCTTCCTGATCAAATACCCTCCAGTCAATCGGCTCATTTTGTCGGTGTAATGCATGACTGCAACTTCCATTTTATTCTTCAGCATCTCCTTCTCCTGGCTATTATAGGCAAAAATATAAATAGTTTTTTTTTTACGTCTGATGCTACATTTAAATTACTATATTTCAATGGAATAAAATTGGTCATTGGAAATGTAGACATTGGTACTGTTTAAGTGATTCCACTTTGATCTTGGATTAGCAATTTATTGAATCTGTATTACCTGTTCATGCTGCTTTTTCCTTGTTTCTCCTACGTCCAAGGGAGAAGTCGAACTTGTTTAGGATAGCTCAAAACATTCATATTCATTGACAGTTCCGGACGATTCAACTTGGAAGTATTTTAGCCCCTGCAATATTCCAAGAATATAATATTCCAAGGCAATAAGTAGAATATTTCAATGAATTGGCGCACATGTAGAGGATGCATTACGAAGCTTAGAGAACTCGGCAACAGTTTAAAAAATCGAGATTTAAACTGCAAACTTCACGCTGAACTATATATTTAAAAGGCTGTCAGGAAATGTGGAAACTTGGGGACGGTAATGTAAACAAATCATTGAGGAAAGTTGACGCCACTAAAGTGGCCACCGTCACGTTCGATACCTTCGCGCACGCAGTCCACGACATTGTGCATGACACGCTGAATCATCGCAGTGGGCACAGTGGCCACTTTTATGCGAGTTCCGAACCAGTCAGAGTTGCAGGGCGAGTGTCGTAAATCTTGCTTTTTAGATACCCCACCCCCAGGACAGGGTCTGAAGCTGTTAGGTCCGGCGACGGCGATGGCCAATGAAGATCCCCATGTCTGGATATCGTGCAGCAAGGAAAAATTATGCTGAAAACGTCCATGGTTATTCGAGCTGTGCGAGACGTCGCACCATTCTGCTGAAACCACATCTCAGGAGGAAGGCGAAGGAAGGTTCTGGCATGACTAGCTTTTAGTTAAAGTGATAGAACTGAAGTGAAATTTGAGGTTAGAAGATTACCTAAATTTTTGACCACCCTGTAGTATCATACCTACTGACCTGATGCTGCTGAGATGCAGAATTTTCGGGTTTCCAGGGATTATAAGCCTGCATGTCCAATTTAATCAAAATCTGATTTGGATGGGTGTTACTCAATTGCTGATATTCCATAGAATCACATAGAATGACATTTCCATGGAAAACACATTAGTCAATTTACATTGTAAATTTGGAAATGCTTGATTATTTATTTTGCATTTTAGATTGTCTTCCATATTTTTGTGACAACGTATTTCATCATATATATGTATAGTACCTAGCGAGTTTGGTTGCCCTTCCGGCAAACGAACGCGCTGTAGTCACGCCTTGGGCGCTTCATGATCCAGAAACGTGATTATTTCTTTGTTAAATTTTCGAATGGACAATAGTGGACTATACGTCCTTGTCGAAATGTGTCATAGAGGGATATCACCAGAATTTTTCCGAAATCATTGTTCCAATGATTTCTTTTGTGCCTGCTTTAGATTTCTTTATGTACCCGTTTTTGTCAGAGAGGAGATAAATCTTGAAATACTTCCCTCCCATAATTTGCCTTGTGAGGCAAAATACTTCAAAAACATACTTTTTTCTGCACTCAGCAATTGAACAGGTATTTCTAAGTCAAGTTTAAATTTTTTCATTATTCTCTCTTTTGTTGGATTGGAAAAGATCCTGGAAAATGCCCTACTCATGAAATATCTGTCCTGATGTGTTTCACATAAAAAAAATATAATATACATAAATAGGTACTCCGAGACCTCTTTGCACACCAAGTTTCAGTCTTATACATTTGCCCTTTTTGCCGTTGCAAAAAATATCTTTGGAAAGACAACCCACCCAAAAACTGTGCCCTGAGGTGGTGCACCGCAAAATATGACTTTTTCCTGAAATGAACATCATGTCTGTTATGTGTGCGTCAAGTGTCAACTCTGCGTTTCAGGTGGATTTCCCAGGGCAAAATTGCATTAATTGAAAATGTCACCGTAAAAAATAAGCCCCCCGGAGATTCATTGGAAGCTTAACATTTCTCCTCATCCCTCTTTGTCAGTAGTCATATTCAAACCAAGTCTGAACTTTCCATGTCAGCCCGTTTCACTGAAGCAAAAAGAAATTTTCCCCAAATTCCATAATCCCAGGGCGTACAAAGTCAGAATTTTTCTGGACTCAGCATACAAATTGAAAACCCACTTACCACGTTTCATCCATCCCATAATTATCGAGGAAATTATTTAAATTAGCGTCAGTCAGTCACTCATTCAGTCATGATCGTTTGCATCTAATATAGAGATCGTGACTGACTGACTGACACTAATTCCAACCACGTTCTAGAAAGGTTAGAAATCTGAAACTTGGTACCTATGTACCTTTTGGGCTGCGGAGTTAAAAAAAAATCCGACTTTGGAGGTACATGCCCTGGGGGTACACATTTTTTATGGGAGAAGTTTTATTTTAAATATATATTGTGACGGATGAGAATGGCATCGAGAGGCTTCGGTGATGTAGTGGTAGCATACCTGACCGGTAGTCGGGAGGCCCTGGTTCAATTCCCGGCCGTTCCATGGGTTTTTTTGGCTTCTCTTGCATTCCATGTTCTGTTACTCATTCACCCCTCCTTAATATTATTTTTGCTGGAATACAACGGAGAGACATGGAAAGCTGATACCTGGCATGGACGTGCCTACCGAGACGGTGAGTTCAGGAAAAATGCAAAATTTTAGGTCCGTGCCCTGGGGAGATCGCCCTGCCAAGACCCGCGAACACCCCAACCATGCACAAACTGGTCGCCCTTCGTCTTCTTTATCCTGTTTTCTTTTCAACTTTCACTTCGTCAATCGAACTGAAGTTCGTTTGACTTCATGCCTCACACCGGATGTAAAATAGGTCGACAGTGATGATGCAAGGGCGGCGTAACGTTATCACCTTCGTAGACCCAGCAATCTCTGCAAGGACAGGCCTGGAACTTGAGTCCCACTCTAGAAATTGGATATAGAGAAATGGGATGGTTACGACGCCGCCGGTGTCGTCTTTCCTATCCAAGAGTAAGCGCTCCTGTGCCATACAGGTGTGATCCTGTCGTATTCACCCTTGGGAGTCACACTTTTCGTGAGGAATAAGAAGATGGGTTTTCGATTGATAAAGGGGTCGGGATCCCGATGAATATATGGACGGAGATCTCCTACCGGCAAGGAAGTCATCCTTCTTCCAAAGATGACTCCAAGAGGACTCCAATTGTAATATGCGGGGACATTTTACACGTTCCTGCGGAAAAAGTCCGTATCGGACACATCAAAGTAGAAAGCGGGAGGTGTGCATAGAATGCCTCTCTCCCTCTCGTTGTAATGTCATGGATGGCATACCAATTAATGTCTTGTGTTCGGCGATGTAGTGGTAACAAACTCGAGCGGCAACCTGGAGGCCCTGGCCTCGATTCTCGCCCCCTCCATCATTTTATTTTCGTCCTCCGTCCTATGTCATCCGAACTCTTCCCCCTTACCCCGGGCTATTGCGTTCTCCGGAATAGATCTAACAGACGCAACGGCCAAAAAACTATGCGAGCCCGAGAGAGGGAGACGTACACCCAGAGGCAGGCAGAAGACTATATGGGGGAACACAAGCAATCGAGCTGAGCGGAAGCGTTTGTCATGTATGAGCGCGCATGCCACGAACCACCGACCACGTCCTCTACCACCACCACCACAGACCACAGTAGATTTTATTACATAGATGATATTGCCGAAGTAGCATATAAACGCTTTCGAGGACGTTCAACATGTTATCAAAAAGGTCTTTGAACATCCAGTGTACCGGAATTAACACCTCTTTGGCGCCCAGTTGAGGTGCCTCTTAATCACGAAACCTTTAGCATTTGAAGGACATTCGTCGAACGCTTATCATATTTTCCTCAAGTATACTATTGGTATCCATCTGACATCGGCTGAAAGAAAAAATGGTCTCACAACCGAAGATGGCGTCAAAGTGGTCGCTATAGCGGGTCAATCCTTGATATAGCTGGAATTAGTCCCCAATACTTTCCACAATGTAGCCGATCCTTTCTCCACATAAACAGCGCGGATGAACTCAATTTCTTGAACCAAACCATCATTAGAGATAACCCAATCCAAGGAGTCTTCAATCCAAGGAATCAAGGAGTGACTCAGGCTCGAACGATATTCAGATGGTTCAGAGATGGTTCAATTTCCAAGGTGACTTCATGGAAATAATTTCAGCATTCAATAATAATATCTCTCATAAGAAAAAGGGATTTCGGTGGAGGGAATGTCTGACTCCTGAATGTAAGATATCTGCAGATAGGATGAAAATTTATGTTTTAAGTCTGAAATTCCCCACGCTTCTCCAACAGACTATCTCAGCCATTGCATGATAGTACCTTCAATCCAAATAATGGGCCACATTATGGCTTCTAACCCCAGCTGCGTGAGTAGGACTCTACTTGGACCGAATGTAATTTAAATGATTAAAGGAACGTATCAAAAACGTTCATTTCATATCGGATGAATCCGAAAATATAAGGTTTTATTGAACCTTTTCCATGGAAATATCAAATTCACGTAGTTCAGGGTACTCATTAATATAACTGTTTTTCACTGCTTTGAATTTTTAACATATAAGCAGTCAGTATAACGTTCCCAAGGACGTTAATGGAATGCTGGAAATAACTTGAATGAAACGTTATTGAACACATTCGGGTACGACTAGGTTTGTAGTCTCTGAACATCATGGTGATTCATTCCACGACAACAGAGCATTCCATTTCCTCCAGTTTGCAGCAGGTTTACCTGACACTAGTTTAGGTAAAACCCCTCTGGGCACATATTTCGTGAGTGGCGCGTTTTCCAAGATCTTCTTCAATCCAACAAAAAAGAGAGCAATGGAAATTTGAAAATGAAGAAGAAATCATGAGAGTAACGATTTCGATAAAATTCCTTATGACGTCCCCTCATGACACATATTTCAACAAGGATGTATATAACGTTTTTACTACTTCGAAAGTGAAATAAAGAAATAATCACCACTCCGGATAATGGAGCGCTGAAGACACAACCACAATATAGTATGTAGAGCGCATCCCTTCAGAGTTCAAAATTATCAATTTTATTTCGTCATAATTCAAATCAAAGACATTTTCTTCATGTCCTAAGATTGTCCCATTTACTTGTGTGCATGAATAAAAGCTCATCTCTTGACTGCCCGAGTTGTGAAATAATTGTCACAACTGATTTATTTGCATATTATTCTCATAATGAGTAGAATAGCATTCACTTTGCGTCCGTTTTTATCCTTGTCTTCTGCACTTGAAATGTTGCCCTTTTCCCACAGAATGATAACATTCTGAGCAAGAGGAATTTGTGCCAACACTTTCTCAAGAGAGAACTAAAAAACAGCAACAACTAAAAGTCCATTGATCTCACCTATTTTCACCTGAAACTGGAATATTTAATATGAGAAGCACTCGACCATCAAAATGTGCATGTTGATTTTGCGGCGGCACAGTGGTATTTTGGGGCGGCACAGTGGTATTTTGGGGCAAACTACAAATGCTACACTTTCTTAGCTCGCAGATTTATTTTAGTGCCAACTACTGTAGATAAAGCTGATACGAAATCCTTACAGGGTTTTATAGGCCTGATCAATTTCCTTGAACTTTTCTGCAGACTCCGGGTCCCCACCGCTCTTGTCAGGATGGTACTTGAGTGCAAGTTTTCTAAAAGCTGATTTCACTTCGTCAAAAGTTGCATTCTCCACCAAACCCAGCGTCTCGTACAGGCTCCCCCCAGATGTGTGAGAGTCAGAGTCATCCATTGACAATGGTCACACCATATCTGCAAATGCACGGCAGGGAGACAGTAAATAAAAAAAGGTTTGAATCATGGTACGTGTACATACGAGGGGTGATCGGAAAAAGAAAACATTATAACCAGCCTCCTAGATTTACAAAAGCTTTACAACCAATTTTACAAACAGTTCTTCTATAATGAAAATAGCTGTTTTCGTAATTTTATTCTCTTCCTTTCAAAATAATACTGCTGGATGAAGCTGTCAGATTTTGATATTATATTCCACGATCGTTTTTCTGCGTTGTTTGTGTTTTTGATTCAAACAACGATCAATATGACGCTAGAAATTAGTCTATGTTCTATGTTCAACAACTGCTTAGTAACTTTTGTCCCACCCTGAATATAGATGTTCGTGACTGAGTGATTCACTAAGTGACTAACGCCTGTTACAACATTGTTCTGAAAACGTTGGAAATCTGAAACTTGATGCCAAAGTAGCTATTGAAATGCGGAATTCAGAAAAAAAATCCCCTGTGGAGGTAAATGACCTTGGGAAGAATTCATTCAGGAGGATTTTTTTAAATAATTCCTTTTACTTAAGTCTAGCAGAGACATGGAAATAAGAAAATGAGCATGAACTTGCTTAATGATTTGTTAATTTACAAAAATGTTCACTTTTAAGATACATTCATTGTAGGCATGATTGAGTGTGGTGGGGGACGTTTTCATAAAAAATGTTTGGCTTCAGTCAAATGGAAAGGACATGAAAAGCTGAAATTAGGAATGATCGTGGCTACTGCTTAGCTGATTTATAAAAAAAATTTACTTTTCAGATACTTCCCCTACAGGAACATTTTGTTGGGGAACACATTTTCCAAGAATTAATTTTTGCACCATTGAATCAAGCAGACTTAGGAGAAACGTTGCACAGAATTAGCTGTTGTGATGTCACGTTCCGAAAAAAAACTGATCTTCAAGGTTCATATGCTCGGGACGCAATATTTGGCTAGGAGGTTTCTCCAGAAACATTGTTTCCAGCAATACGAAAGAAGAGAAAATCAATATTTGGTCATTTTGTTGTTATTTTGGTACCAATTTCATGAAATACGAGTGTGTTTCAAATGAAAACCTTAAAAAGTGATGTACAACTTTTTTCTTCATTGAACCCCTTAACGCCTGAATTTTGTTTATGGAAACGGACACGCTGCTTCATAAAGGCGAAGCCCTTGTGCTTGTTGGCATGTAACTCACAAAACCAACGGTGAGATGGAAGCAGTGTTATCAGAACATGGCTCGGAGCGTCTCGAATTCTCCTCAACCGACGCAAATGCAATTTTTAAAATAATATTTGATCGCATAGGTGGCCAAAATGGGTTTGAGGCAAATTCGGAGCTCTCGTCCTTAAGAGTCTTAAGAGTCTTGGATTCAAAACTTTTTCAAACAAGCACAAAAACGGCGCCTTGCGAAGGCCACTGCGGCTACTCCCTTGGAAGTCTGAGAATAAGCTAGGTGGAGATGCAGATGCTGGCCGAAGACAAACAAGGAAGCACCCAAAACTGAAACTCAACTGACGGAATGGCGTTAGCTGGTAATTGCTTTTATCTTACTGCTAAGACATAGATTATCGTTACAGGAATCAATAATTGCAAACTGATGTAATATATTTGCTTCATTTTCCTATGCTCTTGCAAACATATAATTGCTCGAAACGTATCGGTTGGGTACAGGCAATCTTTCACATTCATCTACCATTGAGGCGACAAGTATTACCAGACAAATGCCTGGCTCCGCGCTAGATTTTAGAAATAGAGAATTGAGGAATGTGGAATGTCCTCACCGCTTAGCCAATGCAGGAAAGTGAATTTTCTTTACGAGCAGAGAATTCTGAAGATCCAGATTGCTTCCCCACTCATTCTACTCCTGTCTAGCTAATGGAGCACTCGGCTGTGTTATCTTATCTCTTTGTCCTCGCAATAGATGGAGCATGCACTGAAACTGTTCACGCCATGAATCTTCATAATCTTACGTCGTTGTTCCGTAATATATATTCTGGACGTAGTTTGTTTATCATGGAATGTTCGTCGACATTCTTCCTTATGTGTACGTACGGCTCTTACATCCAGAAAATGCAACGAAACAGAAGGAAGTGGACATAATCGGTCATACTGTTAAATATAAAGTGTATGGGTGAAACTAATTTTCATTTCAATATTGCATTTCGAATGCAATGAGAAAATGACGTGATCTAAAATAAAAAGAATTTGCAATTCCTCTCGATGATATATTTTCATGACATTGCGCTCCATAGTCCATAACGGTGGCGCTATTCTGCATGGCTAAACATTATGGGAAGCCCTCTCTCAACTGTCAGATATACAATACAGTTATATAATTATACATCTATATCATATATCTAGATATGTAATACGCTAATATATGTTTGTAAGCTGAGTTGCTACGTTATGCAAATGGGATTCTCAGGGGTTAATGGGAATCTCATCGGATTTTCGAACTCGAAAAAAAAGGTTATTTTATTTTCTCTCTACCTTCCAGATATTGGGACCGAACGGATCGAGCGATGAGAATATTCACGTTGAGAATAGCCTTTCGTATGGAATCGTTGATTTTTTTCGATCGAGAACGTCCGGATTCGTCACGGCAGACGAAAGGGTCCACGAGTTAAAACTGCATACAAATGAGACAGGAAAGAAGAACGGTGTTCGGCGTTCAACGGAGATGGGAAAGTGGGAAGGGGAAGGGAACTTTGAAATTTGAGGCGGAGGAGGGCCAACTTGCGCTTTCAAAGTCTTCCCCTTTCCTCACACCTCTAAGTCTCATGCTCAGTTGGAATCGATTCCGTCTATTCCATTACCAGTTGCCCGGTTACTCTTCCACGAAACCGTTCCTTCTCGATGAAAATCTCGCGTTCAGTGACGACTCCATACGAGCGGACGGCCGAGAACGGACACGAAAAGGCATTCCGTAATACGTTTTACGAGCCGACTTGCCGATTTTGAAGCAATCGCGTTTCCGTCTGCAAGCCATATTCGCATTCATTTCATTCTCTACGATTCACAAGAAAACTCACAATCGACCATCCGTCCAGCAACTCTGCGGGGGAAACAGGCGTGACATTTAGCTGATCATCCGGAAGTAGTGCTTCATCCGTTTTATAATACCCAAACGAGAATGAATTCAATCGGGAAATGCAGAACGGTCCAGTGCTTCCGCAGACCTAGAAATAAATGCCTAGGGTTCTTGCGGCTCCTCTTATTCATCAGTACAATACTACCAATGCAGACGTTTGTATTGCAAGCAGACATCTGTTTGTCTGCATCGTACATAGACTGACCTCGAGTAAAAACTGCCGAAATATTCTGACAAATGAGGCACCGATGGACATGTCACGATACCGTAACGTGTTTCGTCAAAAAACCGTCAAGGAAATTTCGAATTGCAACACTTATTCCAAGCATACTCAACGACCATGAGAAGTCAAGGCATACTTCTTCGTATCAAAGGTCCTCGAAGGCCATTTCATGGGCGAAACGTTTCTGTTTCACAAGGGTGGGCGGACTTTTTATTTTCATATTTTTTTCCAGGACAACAAGGCGGGGTTTCCCAGCGATCGGGATGGGGAATCGGATTCTCTCCTTCCTCGTCTACGTGAGTCACTGAATCCATTCACACGTTATTCACGGATGACTGGGATTCGTAAACGCTAGGGAACAAATACTGTACATCAAACGCTCTTAGAAAATTCCGAGCGCTTATGGAGTAAAAAGTGAGCTCTATATGATTTATTTCAAATGTACTCTCTTATTACTCACCAAGTCTCCCTCATCGCTCGTATTGAAGTGAACACTTTGAAGTTCTTAGCCAGGTCACTAGATAGAGGTAAAAGTCAAGCTTTTCGCACAGTACACAAAAAGTTCCTTCCCTCTTTTCCTGGAATCGTCGCTCCCAGGATTGTTTAGTATCTCGCCGTATGTCTCACCTAGTCTCTTTATAGGAATCAAAAAACACATACACTTCATCCTGAGTACGTACTCATCTTGCAACTGCCTGCTTGCCTGTGTACGTACTCATCCTGACGTCCGCTCTTAAAAACGCCTTTAGAAATTTCTTTTTTCTCTTTGAAGTGTGTCTTCAAGAGAAATCTGCTGGTGAAAAATATTTCGTTTCTGAACATTCTATATCTTACGATGTGGATTAATGTTATTTCCTCCCTAATCTTATTATAGCGCTTATTTTTCGTCATGCTTGGAAATGACAACCATGGGATCCCTAGAGTGAGAAAATTTAAGATATGTTTCAGATTGCTTCAATTTCTAACGTGTCACGTCGTGAGAGCGTAATTAGTAATGTGACTGGAGGACATTTTCCTGTTATTAGTGATCAGTCCTCTGTGACAGCGAGGAGTCATGCTGATGATCAGAATCCCTCAGGAAGTGCCCAAAACAATTTACATACAAGACCAACTGTTCCCAAACGTGGTACGCGTACCACTTGGGGTACCCAAAGGTTTTTAAACATACTTACTTTTAAATACAATATAGCACAAGTCTTATGTACTCTGTCGGATTTGCATGAGGGAGAAGCGGTGTTACGCTACATATGCACCCAGGAGGGGAGAAGTACGCAGAGGTTGAAAGTTTGGAAATCGCTGTACTCCTCCAAAATTCTGAGTTTCTTCTTAATAACGGCCCACCAAATCCGCAAATATCCAAAAATGGCACCAGTTACTATTTTACATATCACCTAGCTAAATGAGCAGTCATCTGCGCTGGACGTCGAAAAGGTTAAGGCGGTTTCATTTATTGCGACGATGCATCTTCTTGAGAGCTAAACGTCAAAAGGAAGTGTATCAGACAACTGGATTTATAAACTGCGATGTTATGACTAGAAGCGTGCGGGGTAACGTTTCACCCATGACTCACGCGTGTCTCAAGCCAGATTTGGAGAGGGGGCTAATCGTGAGCATGACAAGAACGGAATTCATTAGCTGGTGGGATATTTTTATAA